TAATCCGCACACCGTTTCAGAGCAGGAATTGCTTAACTCTATTGAAAAGCTATTGAATGATAAGGAATTGAAACACAAATTATCCGTCGCTTCAAAACGTATGCTTAACTCCAATAGCCTTCAAATAGCGGCCGAAAATATTGAGAATTTGATTGAATAAGTTTTTAGGATTTCCTACACTTATTGCAGACTTGGAATCAATTAATACTTATGTTTAAGTTAAATTTAATTCCCGAACATTTTACATGTACAGTATATTTAACATAAATTATCAATCAATGTTAGTTTAAGCAAAATTTTAAAACTTATTTAATTCAAATGTTAAAATACAAATTTAATTTTTATTTCATCACAACATGTTAATTATTATATCACAATTTTCTGCTATTATGTTTATTTAAAGAAATTATTAAATTTAATTTTAACATAAAATTGGGTAAAAATCATGGATTTTAATATGAAATTGAAAATTATTTTATTCTTAACACAAGTAACTTTAATCATTGATTTATACTCCATAGTGATGGTCTATAAGATAAGTCATTTTGTGATTATTTTATCAAATATTTCTGCTATGAGATGATAATAAAAACTACATAACGTTTTATAATTTAGTTTATCAATTTATCGACCATGTACTAATCGACCAAAACACTAAATTATATTCATTATATGATCACATGTTTTATCAATCATTATTTTTATTTTATATTATTTGGTATAAAATGGTTTTTACATTTCATACTCATTCATAAGCTTTCAAAGTAAGGGAATTATTTGCTAATAAATTATAGTTATATTTTAAAAAAAGTTATAACAAATCACTAACAATATGGTAAAAAAGTTGACCATTTTGTTGGCACCGCTCGAAGCGGTCGGTTCAGTAAATCCATGTATAGGTTTGGCTGAAGTACTGCTGAGTCGCGGACACCGTATTGTCTTCGCTGTTAACCAATCATTTGCGGGAAAGTTATCGCCGTTTGGTTTCATCGAAGAGATACTCAATGACGAGACGGGAAAACTTCCCGCAGAAAACTCGGCCAAAAGTCTACTCGCGTCGGGACTTTTGGAGGACTTAACGCCCGAAGAGTCGATGAAAATGATGTGCAAAACACCGATATTTGCCGATTTGATCGACAAAATGAGAGCCATTGAACCTAAACTAAAGGCAATTATAGCCAAATATAATCCCGATGTGTATATCATTAGTGACTTCGCCGCCTCTCCGACAATAATTCATTCAAACAAACCCTGGATTCGCATCAGTGCCTCTCAACCCCTGTCTGGTATAAAGGATGATAGGACACCACCGGGGTGGTCTGGTATGTTAATGTTGCATGTGCAATACAATGTGTGTCATAACATTTACTAATATTGAAAATATGTGCTCACAAACTAACTAGCACATTATGATACACATTGAAGTGTTATGCTGTTTTGTTGCTTTTACTATGTTAACTTGAATGAATTTAACAGCCATAGTCTATGTTAAATAAGTAAAATTATTGTAAACGAAATTATATAATATATTTATTTAGGATATCCTTCAGATAGTGATCGACAAAAATGGTCTGAATTTAAAGAATTAAGAAAAAATATATTCAAATCCCAAATAATTAAATACAATGAATGGATGGCAGAAGTGGGCCATCCCTTACACACTGCGAACAAATCAATTTTAGAGTCGCCTTATCTTAATATCTATGGATATCCTGAAGAACTCGATTACACAGACATCCGACCCATACCTCAGAAGTGGATAAAAATTGAAACTTTTATGAGAAAAGGAGAACAAGAATTCAAAATTCCCGATAAATTTCGCGATAGAAATGTTGAAAAATGTAAATTAATTTACCTCTCATTGGGTTCTATGGGTTCAGCAAATGTGGATCTAATGAAGAGATTGGTGTCTATTCTCAGCATAAGTCAGCACAAGATTATTGTCTCGAAGGGAGTTCTCGGAGACACATATGAATTGGCGGACAATATGTGGGGCGAAAAGTCTGTTCCGCAGACAAAAGTGTTGCCACTAGTAGATGTGGTCATAACTCACGGCGGGAACAACTCTGTGACCGAAACATTCAGTTGTGGTAAACCAATGATTGTAATGCCATTATTTGGTGATCAATACGATAACGCACAGAGAGTTATGGAAAAGGGATTTGGGATTAGACTTAATCCGCACACCGTTTCAGAGCAGGAATTATTGGATTCAATCGAAAAACTATTGAATGACAAGGAATTGAAACACAAATTATCCGTCGCTTCAAAACGCATACAAAATTCAGACAGCATTCAAAAAGCGGCCGAAATAATAGAAAATCTTGTTTAATAAATATTTTCATTTACTTATTATAAACTTGCATTTAATTAATGGGTTATATAATCTAAAAACTTATAAAACAATATTTCATACTCCATATTTTTATATTAATTATAAAATAAGTTTAGGTTAGAAAATTAAATATATTTTGTTTTTATTAATTAATTAAAATAATATTAAACATAGAAATTTGTAATTTGATCGATATTTTAGATTAATACAAAATTTAATAAACAAAAACATTTTTTGTCAAATGAAAGTAAAAAATAATATTAAAAATTGTAATAAAATCTGCTTTAAATCAAAGTTTTAAATCAAGCAATTAGTGGTCTTTCAGTTAATAACTTTCAATTTCTCAAAGTCTTCGCCGATTTTCTTGTACTTATTGTCGAAGTCTTCGCCGATTTTCTTGTACTTCTTGTCGTCAGCGATGGTCTCATTGCCAGCGATTCTCTTCTGGAACTCATCCAAGAGTTGTTCATCGATTTGTTGCTTACATTGAACGCAATGAACGGTTTTATTGTCGTCGCCGGTGATAGCAATGCGGAACAGCTCTTCGAGACACAAGCGATGGTAGATATGTCCGCATTCAAGCACTTCTGTGTCGGCCAATGGCTTGATTTGATGCCAACATAGCGTACAGTGAGTGATGTTTCCCTCCGGAGCGGACATCCATTGTCTCATTTGATGGCATTTCTTCCACTGTTTCTGCTGTTTCTTTGCCTCCTTTTTATAGCACTTATTCTGCTTCTTCTCAAACTTCTTCGCCTTTTTCTCGTCAGAGTCTGAATCGCTGGACGAAGAGCTCGATGACGACGTGTCGGCCAATTGCCAGGGATTGCCAAACCCGTAGCCCCAGTGCCCGCCGTGAAGCCTATGGTGGCCGCCATGTAATCCATGTCCTCTTCTATGATGACCAAAATGGTGTCCTTCGTGTCCGAAACCTCTCATACCGTGGAATCCATGGCCTCCTCTATGGTGTCCAAAGTGGTGACCAAAAGGTCCTTCGGGTCCGCCGGCGCTCATCCCATGACAGCCATGTCTGGGATCGTCCGATACGAGTCCGCCTTCTGTCGACGATCCGCAGCCTTCAAACGGACCGAAGCGAGGGTCGGAGTGACCGCAAAAAAAGGCCGGACATCCGTGTCCTCTATGACCGTATTTTCTGCCCATAATCTGCCGGTTAAATGAACAAAACTTATAATTAATTATGCATATTTTATTCTTTATATAATAATCAAATAACTTATTAGTTGAATCCAAATAAAACTTTTAAATAAAATCTTACGCTTGAGTTAACAGTTGAACCAAAAGTAACAAATTCTTAGAAAATTGATAAATTAATAAAATACTCTCAAAAGTATTAAAAATATATATTTAGTTCACTTATGAGAAGACAATTCAAAGAGTGGTAAGAATTTGAATGACAATTCTGTGCCCAAAATCAACTCCTTTTATACCCAATGTGTGTTAAACAACAAATGCTGTCCTGATTGAGCACCGGTAAGCTCTGTATCGCACTGTCAGTCTCTGCTCTCTTACACAATATCACAGAATCAGTGCACAGGAGTGCGAATCGTAATGATATGTACGGCCTGTTTGTCTGCTTTCATGATTTTGCAGAATTTCCTACTGTTATTGAATAGCGATGTAAACCAATAGTATTTACTCTCATATAAACGGCTTATGTATTTATGGCCTTGAATTCCAGACTTGTATATACAGTATTAAAGTTGTTATGTAAGAAACGTATGGAAACATATAGTCTATACTTATTATGTAATAGTTTTGGTGTTTGTATGTATTCGCATGAATTTTTATGTCAAATAAATAAATATTTTGTCTTATTATTTTTATTAATAATAATATTATTTATGTTTTATATACATGTATTGTTTGCAAATTGCAAATTTGCAATGATATTTATAATTTGATGGAGAATTTTGTATTGCAATGCATAACAACACAATTAATTGATTAATTCAACGATTTATAAACAAAATTATTATCAGAATATAATAACATAGATATTAACGTTAATATACTTATGTTTTTAACCACAATTCAGTATGAATAATGTGGTTTATAGGATCGTTGTCTCACGAATTATCACAAATAAATATTAATATTAGGTCTAAATTTAGATGCATTTTGAAAACATATTTTTCACAAATAAAAATCAGACCATTAATTTTAAAATGTAAAAAATATTTTCATTTATATCTGTAAATATAATGTTATTTAGTTTTAAAAGTATAAATGTCTATGTTTTACACAATAATTGAAAACATGTTTATTTCGAAGCAATAACATAATTATTATTATCTAACACTTATTATAATTTATTAGTTTTTCATTCAAATTTTGGTTTCATTTACATGTTAACAAATAACAATTTACTTTTACCAAACATATTGTTTTCATCCATGTTTTGAGTGAAAAAGGATTATAGAAAGACATCAAATCTCTACTAAATTTGAACAATTTATTTATTTCTTAATTAATTAATACAACTATAAGAGTGAGTAAAAGAAAGAAAGAAAGAGAGAGAGAGAGAGAGAGAGAGAGAGAGAGAGAGAACTTATCGACATTACTGTCCAAATTCACGACTAGATTCGCCTTTTCGGTCGACACCTGAACCGACGGGTCGTTGAATAGTAAATATAATTTAAATAAAATTATGTTGACTCCATTTTTAATAAATATATTATTTATTTTTAATAATTTCATGTAAAATTATAATTGTATTACAACAAGTTTAAAATATTATAAAATGACATAATAAATACATTTATATATTATTAGAGGTGTGGAAAAGGTTTTAAAAATAAAAATGAATATTATTTTAGTAAAACAAAAATTAATTACAAAATACAAATTATTTGGCATTTATTAATTTCGCATTCGTCTAAACTGAACTAGCTCATTTTTTAGTGAATTGAATGATATGATTAGTGGTGACCAACGCTATACATATCACAGACCACAACAACACCATTAGTATCCATAGCCTATGACTAAATGGGGACACAATTCGGGTCATACCGGCGCCGAAACCGGCCGAAGCCGTGGCCACAAACTTCTTGCGGCTGTAATACACGAGTAGAGCCGGGAATATGTACTGAATGGCGGCGCCGGCATAAGAGCCCACAACTCCCACCAGAATCTCCAAGTCTTCGGTGGCAAACGCTATGATCAGCGGCGGTATAATAGCCACCAACGGATAAAGTAGCCGCCGATGTATGAACGATGTCGGCTGACCGCTGGCCGATCGTCGACCGCACGCCTGGAACAGAGTCTTGAGATTATTCTGAAGAGTGATGGCTATTATGGGAAAACTGGTGGACAGTGTGAACACTGGGAACAGCGGTAGAAAGTAGTCCAAAAACGGCACCGGTTTTATCGGATTATCAGCGCTCGGCTGAACACATCTGTCAAGACAACAATATAGCAACAATTCATTGAACTCATTATACAAAATATTCTGATCCAAACATTTATACTATAAATTTTATAGTATGTAATACAACAAAAATCCCAATTAAAAACTGACATTAATAGCAAATCAATACAACACAATTTAATCCAAGCGCTATTAAATTGAGCTGGGTATTTAAATTACATAGAGCATGGTGATTGTATAGAAAAAGTGGACCTACTTTTCAATCTGGAAGTTGAGAGTATAGATGTCCTCCAAGTGGCTAAAGGCAAAGATACCGGTAAACGATAGGAGACAATAAAAACCGAGAATCAATAGATAATCGGTGAGTATTAATGAAAATATGCGGCGCTTGTCGTTAATGGGAGTGACCAGCGATGGTAACGAGTGGTGACACATGAATGAGTAGACACAGACCCCGAAGAGGTTCGGGACGCCCGATATGGACAATGACGAGGGCCGGGCCCGGGCTTTGCCCGACGACAGGGCTATGATTGCAATGATTGTCATTGAGATGAACGCTATTATTAAACATAGAGAATATTTATCAGTCATTTCATATAATTATTCAAATTAATAACAATAAAATCATAAATATTGTTAACATTTAGATTAGTAACAAATTATATACCTATCCATCGGAGAAGTGTTGTCAACATTTGTAAATACTTTGTTTTCTGGACGTTGAAGAAGGCGAAGGGACCGATACATAGCAGCGTTACGGCCAGATATATGCGGTACGCGTTTTGACGGCTTATGGACTCCATGCCTGTCCAGCACTGGTCGGACAACGATAGACTGGCCGTACAATTCTTCGGTTCATATGAACTAATGGTATAGAGCGGGAGATATAATAATTAAACATTTATGGTTAAGGGTATGGTATGGGGGGCACACATACCAGGTCACATCCCGGAGCGATTTACTAATGGCGGCCGCATATATGGCCAAATCTCCGTACAAATAGATGGCAATCGTCACGTAAAACAGTTTGACACCAATGGCGCCGAAGAACATGTCGGCCATCGCACCCAACTCTACCTTTCGTGTGATAGCGAAGTAGTTGTCCTCTTCATCCATGTCCTCATCGCTGGGGTCGCCGTTCACCACACGTTCCCTCAGCTCCTGTTCCTTCGGCTTATAGGCGACAACCATATCATCGTTACCGGAGCCGATGGACGACCGGTCGAAGCGCTGATCATCGCCGGTGTCTTCGCTGTCTAAAAGTGGAAGCGTTTCGTAACTACTGGCGAAGTGTGAGTAGGATTTGTCCGGCGGTAGGGCTGCCGACGCCTCGTAATGACTGGACGACTGGCCTTCACAGTGACGATCAGTAGGCGCTCGCCGTTTGACCGCTAATTATATATATAATCGGGAAATCGTTTTTTGGTTTTTTTTATTGAGAGTTTCGGACAAAAATTCACGCAAATTAATGAATTTAAAATTAATTAATCATTAAATCAATCATTGCATGCGTTTATTACGAGTGCGAAACCCATCACCAAATCAAGTGCGAGTGGGAGGTGGGGGTCAGGAGGCGGGTGTGTTAGTTGTGGGTAATAACTAAAATTAACTACAGGAAACTATTCACAAACCAATTACAAGCCAACTAATTAAGCCATAGCCACAGTTAATACTAGACTAACAACAATTAAAAACCTTTTTGTTGATTGTATTTAATGAGAGCGTTGGCCAAAGACATGGTTTCGATGACAAATGTGGTGGTAATGTATGAGACGAGACAAAGTACGACCACCACAACCGTAGAGCCGGCCCAACCGGCGTTGGCAAAGGCGGCCGGCATTGTCAGCGCACCCGTCCCTACGATCAGATTAAAGAGGTAGACAAGACCTGTCTGTTTGTGCGCGGGTACAGAGAAATGACAACATGGTCGTTAGTTTAATTGTTAACATACAGTGTATTATATACTCTATGGCTATATATTAGTTATATGGCGTAAACCCTATGTCTAACCGCTTAAGAACTTAACATTTTGCCAAATGTTTGTAAACTTTTATTTTGTTTAGTTTTGCAAAAACTTTAATAATGTTCGGCCGTATAGTGTATAGCATATTATGCAATGAATTGAATCATTCATTTCATTGTTATCGTTAAAATGTACGCTATCATTAAATTAAGTGACAACTTCACTATTACGAGTGTTCACTGTATATATACAGTTGAGATTAACAGACAATTAATTATACGATTCAATAAATCATGATTTATAACAAGCAATTAATTGTTAATTTTATTACTTACCACAGGTTTATATGTCTCGCCCGAGTTGTCAGTCGTAACCATTATTTAGCAATTAATTAATACACTATTTATAACATAAATCCATACAAAAATTAATCACGTATAAAATATATCTAATAAAAACAATCATCAAATCATAATTTATTAATACATTATGTAGTGTTTATTATATAAAGCACTGGCATTTTGTACACTATATAAAGGGGTGTATAAATCTATATGAATATTAACCATAATCAATCGTATAATTTTACAAAAATAAAATAATACTAAAATAAATTTAATTCACAACAATAATCACCCACATAAATATATATACATGGGTAGATGATATTTGAGGCTAGCATAATCTATATAATGCCAGTGCTCGCAACGATACCTCACATACAGTATGTTTACCACAATCACAATACTCTCACTTACACTGTTATAATATGGGAAGCACTGGTAGGCAACACAACAACAACAAAAAGTTCATAAAACTTTTAATATAAATATTTGTTTAGACTATTATTTACTATTTCTTAAGTTTATTATTTAAGTTATACCAATAAATTTTATATGGAATAAATATGCTGGAAAAGACTGCTCAAAAACACAACTAGATCCAAATCAATGCGAAAATGGTAAAATATAAATGAATTATTCAGCACGCGTTTAAATATACCGACAAATAAATGCCATTCAATACAATATGAGATAAGAGGGACAGAAATGTCTTATAATTTAAAGTGGTATTCACTAATCAATGAGTGCACTAATAAACGTAAAATACCATCAGTTTTCATTGTAGTTCATATCAAAAACACTCAAATATCAAACCAGAGTGTAGGGCAGGAAAGGGGGTTAGGAAGCAAAATAGATAACAGATATAGCACTAAATTTACTGTTAATAACCAATAAGTGAGTGCTAATTGGTATGCAATCAAAGCTACTTTAAATGTGTAAATAATAATCCCAATACAAAGGTTAGTATCAATAATTAAATTATTTATGGTCGCTGTCGTAAATCAAGCCGGAAATATAATTAGTTAAAATAATATTTAATAGTGATTATGTATTAATTAAAATTGATCATAATTAGTTTTGTTTCCATGCACTTAATCTCTGACATCTCTTACCCTATGATCTATGATATTCTCAACCAATGTTTGTTTAATGAAGAATTTCTAACCAAATCTATAACTCTTAAAACAATTAGATTATAAGTGAATATAAACTGGGATTAAAGTCAAGTGATTTGATAGTAGTGAATAGATTTACGTTAATGACATAATTAGATTATAATAGCATTTGTCACTAATTAGTGTATTAATGTATGGCTACTGTATAAGTAGGCAATCAAATATTTAGTACATAATTAATATAATTGATATTTATTGTACAATTATTTTTACTCAAACAAACAATGATTTCAATTTATAAATGCAATTTTAATTACATATTAAACATAACCATATAATCATTTACGATGGTAATACAGTACATACGAGCATGAATCATGCTGCATGATATTGTAAAATTATATGCTAGATCATCCAGGTGAGTTATAGTGCGGTGCAATGTGCGGGGCGTTTGGGCACTCTATTTGCATCTGATATTGAGGTGCTTTCGTTTGAAGTGTTTTCTCATTTGGCTTCTCTCAGTGAACCGCATATCGCAGTCCAGAGCCGCGCACTTCACCGGCTTCTCACCCCTGTGTGCCATCAAATGCAGATTCAATGAAACTATACGTTTGGATACAACAAAAACACTTATAAATCAAAAAATACAAACAAAACAAAAAACAATAAAAATACATTACATTTAGATTTGAGTTTTTTGCCACAGTTATCCCACGGACAGGCAAAGTCACCGACACTCTTATGGCACAGATAGTGGCGCCGGAGTTGTATCTTATTGAGGAACCGGGACTCACAGCCGGGCCTTCAATATGAAAATATACCGCAAAAGTATTAGATAACAATTTGTTTCATTTCATTAAAGGCTTTGAAATGGTATACCATTCGCACTGAAAGCGTCTATCATTAATGTGTGACGTGTAGTGCATTCGTAGGTTTGATTTCGATCTGAAATTATTATTATTTTAAATATTTAGCGAAAAAACAGCGCAAAACACATTGAATAGTGTGTCGGGACTGACCGGAAAGCGTGACCACATTCTGGCCAATCGCACACAAAATCTTTGACACCCGTATGGCTCGTGATGTGTAATCGGAGCGCCGGCTCTCTCACAAACTTTGATTCGCATCCCGGCCTACAATCGAGTCACACATCAAATCAATCATTTGTTTACAACAAATCAATGCTTTTTAGTACAAACCAAATGCATTTGAATGGCTGTTGACCCGTATGTATGAGTTTATGGTGCTCTGCAAATGTGTCGTCAAATTAATAATTAACTAATAATTTAATAACAATTTCTATGCAAACCTAAAAGGTTTTTCAATTTAAACCGTTTGCCACAATCAGCCCAATCGCACACAAAGTTCAGGTCCGGACTGTGAGCCCAGAGTTGATGGTTCCTGAAGAGGTGGAGGAATGATTGCAAAACAATTATCACATATTGTGTCCAACGGATCAACTTATCTAAAGATAATACTCACTTCAACTCTCCTATCGTATAGAAACTCCATTGACAGTCCGAGAACTGTTCCGAACACTTGAACTTCTTGTCGCCCGAATGTCTTAATCTGTATTTAAACACAAATACAAATTTCACAACAAATTAATTTTAAATCACAATTAAAATTAATAACAAATACAATCGTCAAACCTATGGGTCGTTAGTTTGCAGTATTTATCAAAAGTGAGCGAACATTGACTGCATTTAAACGCACGACTCGTTTGATCGTAAATAGAGCTGTGATTGGGTTTGATATGATTGATGAGCTCTTTTTGTGTCCAAAACATGTCATCGCATTCCTCGCACTTCATGGGACTCTTGTCGTAGTGAAGACGTTGGATGTGATCTACGATGCGATCCAACGCCACCGCTTTGAACTCACAATAACGATAATTACAGATATATCTCAAGATATTGTTGGTCTTCGTGTGTTTGATCGGCGAATAGTCTGTAATTAAATCAAATTATAATTAAATACAAACATTTATTTCAGACATTTTTTGTGTTCAAATTATACGGCAATTGAAGTCTATCTTCAGATAAGTCTTATTCGGCACAAAGTTATTGAACGCGTCGTCCGATGTGTCCAACAATTGTAAATTGGTTTCCGAGTCGTTGTGTTTATAAGTCTTGTGTATATCTAATTAAATTAAACAGTAATTAAAATTAAATTTCAAACAATACTTATGTGATAAATGAGTTGTAAACGCAATTTCATACCTAAATCAGACTTAATTTTAAAGCATTCATTACATCCAATCCAATCGCAATGAAACAGCTGTTGCGGCGAATGGGCGCCGATTTGATGGTTTCTAAGATAGCATAAAATATAAATCCCATTAAATCTCGATATAAACCACACCCTATGGGCGCATAACTGTACAGACCTGAGCTCACCGGCCGTATAGAAACTCCACTCACAGTCCGGGTAAGTGTCCGCACATTTGAATTGCTTTTCACCAAAATGTCTCGTCTGTTAACAACACAAACAGTTTAATACAATATTAATACAAATTAAATGATAATCACTTTATGGAGTAATAATGAACAGAATTTCTTGAACTGAAGACCACATCCATCGGCGGTGCAGATGAACTTCTGGGTCAGCCGATCGTATAGGTCTTTGTGAGCCTTTCGGATATGCTTCGAGAGTTTAATAGTCGAGCCAAACGTTTGCAGACATTGTTCACATTTGGTCCGATCATCGCTCGACTGATCCGTGCGTTGAACCCGCGTTTTGGCCACTCTTTTAGCGCTCGACTTCACACCACCCNTGTGAGCCTTTCGGATATGCTTCGAGAGTTTAATAGTCGAGCCAAACGTTTGCAGACATTGTTCACATTTGGTCCGATCATCGCTCGACTGATCCGTGCGTTGAACCCGCGTTTTGGCCACTCTTTTAGCGCTCGACTTCACACCACTCTCTGCCACAACCTCTTCGTCGCTTTCATCTGCGGTTTTAAGACAATTCATACATTTATTGATATATCGTTTGAATGCAAGCGTCAAACGCGAGACCTATTTCGGTGACATTAATGTTGTAATCATCGCTGCCCTCAGCGAACGACACGTCCAATACATCCATCACTTGATCCACGCGTTCACTCTTCACCACCGGATAAA